GGCGCTGGGGGGGGCTAAGGCCCCCCCCAGACCCCCCCCGATGAGTTACAGTTTACTTCGTGCAAACGCCTTGGGGAATGCCGCAACACGCGCACACCACAATCTCTCAAACACTGATCGAATAGAGTTCGTTCACGATTGTTCGTCTTGCATCATGTTGAAAGATAACACTACACGACTTTCCGGGTTGCAAAAGTAATGATGCATAGCAGCAATGGACCGGAACCACCAAGTGCAGCCTGTTTCCTGGACCATCGCGATTGTCTCCATATGACGAACATTGATGTTTGGCCCGCTCACTGTTGACAACCGGAGTGGCGTCATTGTCGTCGGCTGGCTGCAGCATTGCGCCCACATTCCCTACGACCTCTATACCGTCTTTATTAACGTCGCTAATGGCTTCAGTGATTTTTTATATCTGCTTTAATGACCTAACACGCTTTGGGAGCTTCGGGTCCGAATGTTTTGCAGCGTTTGGTCCGGTCAGAAACAGTCCGATTCCTCGTTGACTTTCGGGCGTGAGCTTCCTAACAGTATCCATGGTATTAAAGTACCATGATATGGTTAACATGTATGTCTCCTGTGAGATTCTAGCGGCTTTGGCATGGGCAGTCCATTTTTGGCTGGAGGAATGAACTTGCACGGTCGGAACATTATTTATTCTTAACTTTCAGGACCACGAACATTTTTTTATTCCAAATTCGGAATATATTCCGCAAAAAAATATCGCTGGCAGGGGAGTAGGCGGCAGTGGAGGAGGTGGCAGGGGAGTAGGCGGCAGGGGACACAGGCAGCAGAGAAGGAGGCGGCAGGGGAGGCGGCGGCAGTGAATAGAGGCGGCAGGCGAGGAGGAGCAGGAGATAGAGGTGGCAGGGGAGAAGGTGGCAGGGTAGGAGGCGGCAAGGTAGGAAGTGGCAGGGGAAAGAGGCTGCAGGGATAGAGGCTGCAGGGGCAGAGGCAGCGGGGGATGAGGCGGCAGGGGATAGAAATGGCAGGGGACAAAGCGGCCGAAATCAAGTTCACTACACCATAGCGTTCATTCCTTCCTGCCTGGGTGTTATTGGCATGCGACAATGCACCTAATACCCAGGACATACACCTGGACCTGCAACCAGCACACACACGCTTCGGGCATGTGGAACAACGAATTTGAAGTAGGTATGGAGGATCACGCACATGCAGGGAGATGGGTGAATGAGTGAAGATTGCCAACCTGTATTAGGGCATGGTTAGCACCCATAAATATTGAGAATAAGATCCTTGCCCCAACAACCGCCCAGCCATGCCTAAATACCTGTGTGCCCAGCAAAACATGCCCATGGCCCCATGCATGCCAAGGTGATGTACACGTGATTGTGGGATGGGCTGTGCCCACTCACTCCTCACATGCCTAGCAGCCAGAATGAGGTGTTGGGTGTTTTTCATGTGCTATGGCAGTGGTCGTGTGGCTTAATGGATAATTATAAGGCATCGTCCTCCAGTTTTATGTCCAGGATGGAGATTGTGGGTTTCAGTCCCTAACTTCCCCGGCCCCATGTTTTGGTGAACCCTCATCCATTGCATCCACGCCAGCTTCTGCAAAGTCAGTGGCTTTGCGGGATTGGGCGGCCACCATCAGAATCCAATAGAATCTGCCAGATCAACCACAAGCATCAAGTCTACTCCTTACCGGCTCCACAGATCACTCACTATAACCAGATGCAGCTGCTGTGGGTGGGAGGCCCGAAGCTGGTGGTCTACTGGCCATGGGGAGCATGCCTGTGAGGAGGGAGTCACAGCAGTGTGAAGGAGTGTGAAGTCCGTGTGAAGTCGGTGTCCCCACAAAACCCTAAAACCCTAATTGCATGTAGTACATAAGAGTGCCACAGCCGGTTTGCACAGTCTCAGGACCCTCGCCCGCTTACCA